AAATAAAGGGTTAAATGAATAGTACTATGATTGACTTTTTAGTGTAAAAATGTGGTTTTTCGTTAAAGTGAACAGTACCAGGTGCTTTTCATTAAAGTTCCCATAATTAAAACCTTATTCCTTTTTCATTTTTTATTAAGGTCTCTTGACTTTTCTTTATGTCATTATTTGAATATTAAATTATTTACAAGTCATTATATGTCATATTAATCAATTTCAAATATAATCTTTTTAGTATATTTTTTCATATATTTCTATTTATAATTTGTATCCTTTTTTTTAATTTATACCAATATTGTTTTTAGTTTTAATTTGTACCCATAATTTTGACTTTTAATATGTACCCACATTTTAAATTTAATTTGTACCCATGGTTTGGAATTTTAATATGTACCCATATTTTAAATTTAATTTGTACCAATATTTTTTTATGAACGTACTGATGCTAATTATATGTGTTTATTTTATGTTTTAAAATATATCAATAGTTATTTCTTGCACTATATTAATAATTACGTGGGTACATTTTTTGTTTTTTTGCTAGAACTATGTGAAGAACAAATTACTCTATTATTGATTTTTAAGTAATTGTTATATTTGTCACAATATTATTTGGATTTGTTTAAATTTCATAATTTGTGGGATATTGAATGCATAAATGCATGAGTTAAATCCCTTAAATGATGCTAGGGACCTTGATCAAACTATTTAAACAAATAAGGTTTCATTCTAACAACTACGTTGATTAGGGACTAAAACCAAAATGATCCAAATTTAAATTTGGAGTAATGGAAGAGATAAGAGAGGGGTGCGTATAAAAAGAGTGTTTGAGGTGAATAGAATTTGAAGAACTGGATTAAAATAAGGTAAGATAGTATGAAAGAGTAAAAATGACGTGAAAAAATTGTGTAGAAATGTCTTAAATATTTATAGGAAAAAAAATTAGAATTAAATATTTTTTTTTTAACCCAGCATTTTTTGAGCTCAACATGCCCAGCTCAAACAATGCTCTAATTTGGCTTGGTGGGATCCGCTTGGTTTTGGCCCAATCCTTTATTGGAGTTGGGTTTTGTCAAAAAAATAAAAAAAGGAAAACTAATGAAAAGGGCTTGAAAACTTTGAGTTTTAATGATAAGGACAAAATAAAGGGTAAAGTGAATAGTATCAGGATTGACTTTTTAGTGTAAAAATGTGGTTTTTCGTTAAAGTGAATAGTACCGGATGCTTTTCGTTAAAGTTCCCAAAAACAAAAGGAGCTAAAAGGTATGACCATCTCCACGGAGATGGCCTAAAAAGTTCACAAGAATCCAAATAATAAATGGGCCCAATTAAAACTGAAGAATCTGACCCAAGTAGAATGGGCTTTCTAAGAGGTCCACAAGAATTCAAAGAATAAATAGGCCTTATTAAAATAATGAACAATATTGCCACACCATAATAGGCATTCGGTGCACAAGAATACAAAGAATAAATGGGCTAGTTGTAAGGCCCATAATGTAACCCAAAAGAGTTTCAGACCTCAAGCTGTGTTCTGACCTACCGAACTCTGCACCCAAAAGGGATCGATCCACAACGTATCAGTCATGAGACCTCTACCTTTACACACTTGGGCTTGGACACTAAAGGGGCCCAAAAACACAAAGCAAAAATTTGGGTTGAAAAACATTGCGAGTTAATATTACAATCTAGTTAAAGTGGATTATTTATGCTTCTTTTTAAATTGGTTATAGCCCTGCCACCTAGTACTACGGTTTAATAGTATTTCTTATCACTTGTAAGTGCGAGGTTTTAGGTTCGATTTTCACCAAAGGCGAATTAAAACCAAATTATTGCTAGCTCATTGTGAGGTTTAACTCAATCATTCACTCTCTTAATGTAGATAATATCGATTGGTCAGAAAAAAAAAAAAAAAAAGGTTACAGGCTTACAGCCCTTGAGCTCTCTGGGTGAAACAATTTTGACCCGTACCAAAATCCACATTCTCATATAATATTATTATGCTGCTGTATACTAGAAGTCAAATGCATCTGTTAGTTGATCTTATCTAAAGCCCTATCTGGTGGCCGCATTTAAGTGATTAAAGCCATATTGGGTTGGAAATATTATGATGGACACAACCACGGGTGGTTAGATTACAATTTCTATAGCTAAAGTGGCATTGAATATTCATTTTTCATTTAGTGGCGAAGTCAAGATTGTCGGAAGATGGGCGAAATCGACAAGAATATAGCATATAGTACATGACACTGGATAGAAGGCAATGCCATATATAGTATATACATGCATGTGGATTTATCGGGTTTAAAGTTTAAATTGGTCTTAAGTAAGAGAACATCTTCTTCTAAAGTCAAAGGCTAGCTATACTATTTCATCAACATAAACTCAACTTCATTCAATAAAAAATTGAGGGAGAGGAGGTTAACTCACATATATAGAGTGAACCATACATGAAAACGATTAATTAATTAATACTACATATATACCAAAATAAGCCAAAAACTTTGTAATAAACTAGAATTAAATAAACGGAACTCATTCTAAATCAACCATATATAGAAACAACTTTAATTGGCTAGTCCAGATTCGGTGTATAGAAAAAGAAGAAAAAAAAAATACCCTAATGCTTGTCCCAAAAAAAACCCCTAATGAAGTTCTTTCCTACTATATAAACCCCCTCCCACACGACCACCATCACCACAACTCCGGTACATGTACAACCACACTTCGATCCCCGGCAATCATGAACACCACCCAACGAATGACGACCCAGATTCTGTTCTCCCTCTCTTCCTCTTTTTCCTCTCCCGCCTACTCCCCGCCCTCGAATCCCCATTCACTGAAAAGGTACAGCGGACCAAGGGTACCATCAACATCTGTCTAACCCATACCCAGGGCGATCTTGACTTCATCTTCAGCTTCCCCCCTCAATTCGACGTGCGCACTGCTAGGGCCCTTGATTCATGCGTCATGTTGTACAAGGATGCCGTTGACTCTTTCCGCAATGCACTCGCATTTTTGGACCAACTCGGGACCCTCGGCACCCTGTCCTTTCATTAAAAGATTAAGGATGCGAATCTCCAGTTGAGCGCCGCGGATACTGATGCACTAACTTGTAAGAAAGGTTTGATACAGTTAAAGACGGGCCTCTCAAGACCGAAGTGTCCAATCGGGTGGAGGATATGAGTAAGCTTGAGGGCAATGCGCTTTCACTCCTTATTAAAATTGGTTAGGGGGCGCCACCGTGATCATAAAGCGCTTACGCTCGTTGCAAAAGTTGAAATTGTCAATTAGTGAGATAATTAATGAAAATAAATTGAAGTCTAAATTATATTTATCAAATGCAACCTCACCAAGAAAGGCTTCCCTCCCGCAAGCCCCTCACACCCAATTCGAAGCCGACACTGATACAATCAAACGCAACCTCCGAGAGCAGTGCGGTGTACAGCGGAGAGAAGCTGAAGAAGGAGGAGTCTTTCTTACATCTGGCTTCTGTGTTTGGCTTTCTGCTTTTCTTCTCTCTGTTCTCTCTCTGGTTTTCCAAAATTCAAGCTTCGGTCTTTCTGGCTTCTTCGTTTGCCTTCAGTTTCAGCGTTTCCCATAAAAAATTAATAAAAAAATATTTGAAGCTGCTGTGAAATTTGACAGCAACCTCTTTGCTGTCAATACATGTCAGCGTTACATAGGAATTAGTATTTCGGTTGGAGAATATTAGTGTAGTCTTTTATTACTGTTATAACATATATGAACATTTTGACATTTTATTTAGAGATACTCTAAACATATAATTTATACTATTAATGATTTAAAAGTATATAATTAATGCAAGTAGCTCTTTACTAAGTGATAGAGAGTAGTGTTGTTTTTGCATCATGGTGTGGGATCGAATCTCATTGGCTGCTTAATCTAACATTTTTTTTTTTTTTGAAATGAATACGATAGCTTTATTTCAGAACTCAACGCGAGTACAAATCATGACTGAGGTCCTCCCTAATAACATCTGGGGGTTCCTTAAACCATACAACTGAATTACTATACTTAACTTGGCTAGGCGATGTGCCGCATCATTACAAGTACGAGGCACGTACAAAAAAGTGTACCTATCAAACTCAGAGGCGAACTCTTTAATATAAGAAACAATGTATCTGAGACTAGAATAATCCACAGACGTACCATTACAGGCTAAGACGACTTCCATCGAATCACTTTCCACCTGCAGAAACCTACACCCCACTCTCTGCGCAAGATGCAGACCTTCTCTGAGTGCAAGGAGTTCCGCCTGCTTGACTGAGAAACTGCCTTGAACCAGCAGTACTGAAACAACCGTTACCTTCACAAATCGCCCCCCAGCCCCACCGATACCCTCCCCCACCTTGACAGCTCCGTCAACATTCAGTTTAAACCAACCATCAGTTGGAGTCATCCACGCAGTTGCTTAGACCGCTAGGACTGACTTGGTTGAAGATTGGCAGAGTGATAGTCTTGCAGCCAAATGAACGCATGTTGAACAACCCCAAGGGGGAAACCGACTTACCCTCCCAAATTAGCTTGTTCCTCTCCGTCCATAATGCCCACAAAAGCATAAACACCGCATCCATGTCCGCTTTCTTTTCTTCCACCGAAGTAAGCAGCTACTCCTTAAGAGAATCATGAGATTGCATCGCCGCTCCGAGCCCCAAAGGAGCAGCGAACCAGACTGTGTTAAAGGAAATGAAATAGTCAACTATCAGATATGATTTGGAATGATTGTAGGATACAATAATCCATCTTGGAGCGATTGTAGGAGATGATTGTAATAGCATAGAATTGGTTTCAGTTTACCTAGAATAGCATCACAATTCTTGTATAAATTCATACCTCTATACAGCTTCAGTTATGCAATACAAAATATATTCACAAAACAATTTTATATGGCATCAAAGCATCGATCTTGGTGACTCTAGAAGCCCATTCCACTTTCGCCACAAACGCAACCTAAATTCTTTCCATTAAACACAGCCAACATGAGCAATGAAAAAGCAACAGAGGTGATGCCACACGCATCTGATCCTCTCATCTTACACCATTTAGACTCACCAAGTCTTGTTTTAGTCTCACAGCTTCTTGACGGACACAACTATGGACAGTGGAGCTGCTCTATGTGCATCGCTCTCAGCGCCAAGAACAAACTTGGGTTTATTGATGGATCAATCAAAAGCCCTGCAATCATTGATGCCAAGTATTCAATTTGGCATAGATGCAATGGCATGGTCTTGTCATGGATTTGGCAGTCCGTGCAAGGCAACATCGCTTGCAGTATACTCTACTGCAAATCCGCATCAGCAGCATGGAAGGATCTTGAGGATCGATTCTCGCAAGGAAACGATTCAAAGATCTATCAAATTCGACAAGAAATTGTCGAACATCGACAAGGACAACTATCTGTTTCATATTATTACACAAAGTTGAAGGCTCTTTGGGATGAATTGGCATCATACCATGAGCTGATTGCTTGTGAATGTGAGGGATCCAAGATACATGCAGAAATGGAGGAAAAAGAAAAGGTCATGCAATTTTTAATGGGGTTGAATGAGAGTTACTCAACCATACGAGGCTCCATCTTGATGATAAGTCCACTCCTAGATACACAAAGAGTCCATGGGTTGGTTCTACAACACGAATGCCAAATAGATGTGGCAAATCGTCGTGAACATGCTGCCCATGCAATGCAAACAAGTCGTTCGACAACGCCAAAAGGAGGCTCTGGTGTTAACAGCTCCAATTCAAGCAAGACATTCAAATGCAGCTACTGTGACGGAGGACATCTAGTAGAACGTTGCTTTTTCCTTATTGGATTTTCAGAAGGTCACAAATGGCATGGGAAGAATGTGCAGCCCAAGAATAAACGTACAAATCCAACATCAAACAATGTTGAAGGGCTTCAGTTACTAGCCACCAACGTTGACACAACCAAGGCATCAACCTCCAACAACCCAATGTTCATAACCGAGGAGTACAATCAACTCATGGCTCTACTTCGCAATAAGAACGGTAAAGATCAACCACTCACACATGCAACAGGTATATACACACCCACCTGCAATACTGCACAACATGATCCACATTCACCAATATATTGGATTGTGGATAGTGGGGCAACAGATCACATTTCTCATCTATCACCCAGCTATAATAAAACTAAAACACAACATGATTTTGTTGGTTTACCAAATGAAGGACAAGCTGCAATTGAAAGCATTGGGTCTATTAAATTGTCACCAGAGATATCTCTTGATGGAGTTTTACATGTGCCAAAATTTTGTGTGAACTTGTTGTCTGTGAGTAAATTAACTCGGGCGTTGAGATGTATCATGATATTTTATCCGGATTTTTGTGTTGTGCAGGACATGGATACGAAGAGGACGATTGGCCTGGGCAAGCATTTTAATGGACTTTACTACCTCACACCAAGCCAAAACCCTTACCTAGCTAATCATGTTAACCGCACCTCGGGACTTTGGCACCAATGTCTTGGACACCCATCATCAGCCCCTCTTCACTCTTTATCCCAGACCATCCCAGAAAATCATATTTGATTCTAAGCATGTTTATGATGTTTGTCCTTTAGCAAAGCAAACTCGCTTATCTTTTGTTTCAAGTTTAATAAAATCGGTTGCACCTTTTGATTTGATCCATTGTAATATTTGGGAAGCACACAAAATCCATACACACACCAGAGCACGTTATTTCCTTACTATTGTAGATGAATTTACTCACTTCACATGGGTTTATCTTATGCATTTTAAATATGATACACAAGCCTTGTTGAAATCATTTTTTTCTTGGGTCAAAACACAATTTAATTGTGAAATTAAAGCTCTACGTGCTGACAATGGGGGTGAATTTGTGTTGATGCGGACGTTTTTAGACATGCATGGCACCATTTTCCAACATACTTGTGCTCACACTCCTAAAAAAAATGGGGGTGGTTGAGCGCAAACATCGGCATCTTTTGAATGTTGGTCATGCATTATGTTTTCAAGCCAATTTACCTTTAAAGTTTTGGGGGGAAAGTATCCAAAGTGCTTGTTATCTCATAAATCGCCTTCCTACACCTTTATTTTCACATAAATCTCCCTATGAACTCTTGCACGGCACATCACATGAATATTCCCATCTCTGGGTTTTTGGGTGTTTATGTTATGCCACTTATCTTACTCCCTCACATAATTTTGACGCACGTGCACGTCGATGTTTTTTTTTTTTTTTGGGTATCCCCTTGGCCAAAAGGGCTATCGAGTCTATGACCTTGATAGCAAGCAAATCTTTACATCTCGTGACGTTGTTTTTCACGAGCACATTTTTCCTCTTGCTACCTCGCCACTAGAAAATCAACTAGATTTCCCCGTCTTACCCATTCCTCATGATGACATAAATTTCATTTTGGTCTCAGCCTAAACACCTACACCATAAAATCTAAGCCCACCTACTAACCCCACCAATTCAACCTCTACCACAGACACCTCGTCATCTTCCCATATTCCCATCCACAGACCCCCTCAAATTCCAACTCTCACACAAACACCACAGAAAATCCCGCACCACCCGCCGCACCAGACACCTCGTCCTCACCACTAGAACCTGCTCCTCCACCCCAGCCTGCTCTTCCTCTACTTCGTTGCTCCGACATAATTAAACATCCACCTGTTCGTTTCATTGACTATCAGACACACTATGTTGCTTTTCTTATGCCCAGCGTTGTCCCTTCCTCAATGTCCGGTACGCGATATCCGCTTCAACGGTACGTCTCCTACTCTCGTTTATCTCCTGCTCAACAATCCTTTGTACACAACATATCTCACCTGGTTGAATCAGTTTCTTATAAGCAGACCTGTCATGACCCCAAATGGATTGCAATTATGAATTCTGAGATTCAAGCTCCTGAAGACAACCAAACCATGACTATGGTTCCTCTGCCTCCTAGCCAACGACCCATTAGCTCTAAATGGGTCTTCAAGATAAAGTACCATTCCAACGATACCATTAAACGGTACAAAGCTCGCCTTATCACAAAAAGGTTCACTCAACGTGAGGGCATCAATTACAAAGAAACGTTCACTCTGGTTGCTAAACTCATGACTGTTTGTTGTCTCTTGAATGTTACCGCTGTTTGAAATTGGCCTTTGCACCAAATGGATGTGCTAAAAGGATTTCTTCATGGTACATTACATGAGGAAGTATATATGTTACCGACTTATAGTTATCGTCAACAGGGGGAGCCATGGTTTGTCGACTCCACAAGTCCTTATACAGACTTAAACAAGCCTCTTGTAGCTAGTTCCAACGATTCTCATCTGCCATTCAAGAAATTGGCTTCCAATAGTCAAAATGCGGATTACTTGTTGTTTACTCAGGTTTGTGAAAACTCTGTTACTATGGTGTTGCTTTACGTTGATGACATGATCATTACAGGGAATGATGAGGAAGCCATTAGTAACCTCAAGAAGTTTCTCAGTGGTTGTTTCCAAATTAAAGATCTCAAACCATTAGAATACTTTCTTCGTGTATAAGTTGCACGTTCCAAAGCTGGGATTTCCATTTGTCAACGTAAATATACCCTAGATATATTGGAGGAAGCCGGTTTGCTCGAAGTAAAACCTGCCAAAGTACCTATGGAACTTGATTTGGTATTGATAACAACAGGAAGTGATGCTCTCAAGGACCCAACTCAATATCGACGTTTGATTGGCAAATTGATCTATCTTACAATTCCAAGGCCAAATATTACGTATACAGTGAACACTCTCAACCAGTTTATGCAAAAACCCAAGCTTTATCATCTTAAGGCAGCACACCGTCTTCTTTAATAGTTGAAGAAAGCACCAGGACGAGGTCTATTGTTTTCCTCAGAAAACCAACTCAATTTGATTGGCTATTGTGATGCGGATTGGGATAGATGTCTGATCACACGCCGATCAGTGATAGGCTTTTGCATTTTTCTTGGTAAGTCACTTGTATCATGGAAAAGTAAAAAGCAAGTCACGATTACACGATCTTTTCCAGAAGCCGAATATCCCTTCATGGCTGCAACCACTTGTGAGCTTACTTGGCTAAGGTACTTATTGAAAGATTTGCGTGTACATCACCCTGAGCCAGCAAGATTGTTTTGCTACAATCAAGCTGCCCTACATATTGCAACAAATCCCTTGTATCATGAATAGACTGAACGTATAGAATTGGATTGCCATACGGTCCATGAAAAGATTCAAATGGGAGAAGTCAAAACCACTCATGTGCAAACTGGGAGTCAGATAGCTGACATATTTACGAAGCCACTAAGAGCATCTGCCTTCCACTTGCTTCTTAGCAAGTTGGGTGTCATTGACATCCACACTCCAACTTGAGGGGGAGTGTTAAAGGAAATAAAATAGTCAACTATTTGATATGATTTTGAATGATTGTAGGATACAATAATCCATCTTGGAGCGATTGTAGGAGATGATTGTAATATCATAGAATTAGTTTCAGTTTACCTAGAATAGCATCACAATTCTAGTATAAATTCATACCTCTGTATAGCTTCAGTTATGCAATACAAAATATCTTCACATAGCAATTTTATAGACTGCACGTGCAAAATAGCACTCACGAAACACATGGCTAATTGTCTCTCCCAACAAATTTATCGTTTGACAAAAAAAAAAAAGTAAATAATGTTGTAGGCCTAATTTACTAAAATGTATTTAGGACTAGAGAGGGAGAGGGCTAGCGGCAAGAGAGAGGAGATAGAGAGATATAATTGTGAGGTGTGTCATGTACCATCCCATTGTGCCTTTATATATAGTAGTAAGATAGGTTAAATCCTTATCCTAATAGGATTACAACTCTAATAATATCTACTAAAGGAAATATTCCAAGATATCCCTAGATACAATAGAATTAACACAATCAGATTCCTAATCTAATAGGACTGCAACATTCATCATTGAGTGTGTAAATACTCAAACAAAACATCGCATCAGGTCTTCAACACTTGAGGTAGAATAGTTGATGAAGTCATCGACACAATTGGAGAATGCAAGTCTCAAATTTAAAGAAAGTATGCATAAGTAGTAAAACTCATAAAACCTCACTATGGTAAAACCTAAGGCAAGTGAAAACCCATAGACTAAGGGGAAAAGTGAGAAGTATGCATAATGTCTAAAACAAACGTTATACGGGACGAAAGTAGTGAACTCAACGGAGTATGATCATCCCAAGATGGGTACCTCATTAAAACCTTGTTAGGTAGCAAAAACCCAGTGGGAAAAATGCTTCTAACAGTAGGAAAAATAGTACATAAAGATTAAGTGAGTATGCTTCAGGATACTCCCCTTAAGTTAGACATAACTTCTAAATAAGAGAACTATAAGCAATTCAACTCAGATAATTTACGTATACCAATTCATTGGACGAGATTCTAAAAAGTAGACTTGGACAATGACTTGGTGAAGAGATCGGCCAAGTTGTCCTAGGAATGGATTTACTTGACTTCAATGTTTTGATGTTGTTGTTGCTAGTGAGAATAAAAGAACTTTGGCGTATAAGCTTGGTGTTGTCTCCCTTGATGTATGCCTTCTTTAACTGCTCGATACATGCTGCATTGTCTTCAAAGATCGTCGTAGGAAGGTCAACGATAGTAGTAAGACCATTAATGCTTTTAATATGTTCCATGATTGCTCTCAACCAAAGGCACTCATGCGAGGCTTCATGTAAGGCAAGAATCTCAGCATGGTTCGAAGAAGTCACAACTAATGTTTGCTTGGTAGACTTCCAAAATATTGTGATGTCTCAAACAATAAAGACATAGCCAGTTTGAGGACATGCCTTATGTGGGACATATAGATAACCAGCATATGCGTAACCAACAAGGCGGGAATGAACTCGAAGACCGAGGGGGCGGTAGCTCCTCTTGAGGATTCATGGGTGTAGAACAAGCCCAAATCCGTCATACCCTTGAGGTAGTGGAAAATGTCTTTAACACCATTCCAATGTCTGTGTGTAGGCGCAATGCTATATCTAGCCAAAAGATTAATAGCGAATGAGATGTTGAGTCTAGTGCATTGAGCCAAGTACAATAAAGCACCAATTGCACTTGGGTATGGAACTTTAGGCTCCAAAATCTCTTCCTCATCCTCTATGGGATGGAAGGGTTCTCGTTTAGCATCTAGAGTCTAAACGATCATATGAGTACTTGAAGGCTTCACTTTATCCTCATTAAAAAGTCGCAACATCTTTTGGGTGTAGTTCGATTGATGTACTAGAATTCCATCCGAACAGTGCTCGATTTCCAAGCTAAGACAATATGAGTTTTACCAAGATATTTCATCTTAAATTCTTATTTCAAGTGAACTACAATTTCCTCAAGTTGTGCAGGAGTTCTGATAAGGTTCATGTCATCGACATAAA